TCCTGCGAGCAGGTCTCTCCTCTTCCAAGCCCAGGAAGCAGTTAATGATTTCCTCTAAGTAAATGCAATCTGAAAAAAAAAAAAAAAAACACTCCACCTACAATATACCTTGCTGCTGGGCTTCTCATCCCTTGTATGTACATCCACGTGCAGGTGACCTCCTCCCTTGAGGAGGATATTTGCTTTCCCTCTACAAAGCCAAGAGACCACTGGAGTGTGTTTGCAGAGGGGGAGCAGCTCAGATGGCACCAAAGAAGAATTTAAACTTTGAGTTAAAAGAAGAAAGACTAATTTTTCCATTTTTACCCATTGAGATTGAATTAAAAGGTGGAGGATCAAGGACAAGCCGGAGCAGCTTTCAGAACTTCAACAAGAAACCTTCAGCCCAAGAAAGTGCAGCTGGCCCACGAAGAGTTGGCATTACACCCCTATCAAGCACTGAGAGATTTGCTTAGGAAAAGAACAAATGCAAAAAAAACAAATTTCTTTCATGAGTTTCTTTTTTTTTTTTTTTTTTTTCCTGGTACAGGGAATTGAACCCTGGGGCACATAACCACTGAGCCATATAACCTGCCCTTTTTTATCTTCTTATTTAGAGACAGGGTCTCATTAGGTTGCTTAGGGCTTTGCTTTTCTGAGGCTGGCTTTGAACTCAGAATCCCCCTGCCTCAGCCTCCTGAGGAGATGCTAGGATTACAGGCATGTGCTACAGCACCCTGCTCTTCCAAGAGGTTCTTAGTTGGAAAGACAGATTTGTCCCCTTGTGCCTCACCTAAGATCCTCTCAATCCTCTCCACCAGGGATTCCCAGAGCGTTCTGGTCACAGATTCTTTCTACTAAAGAATCTGAGAGGCGCCATCCCCGTCTGGCCTCCCTGGCTTCCTTTGTCTGGCAACATGACAGCTGGAGTGATATGAAACTGGAGCTAGCATCATCTGAAAGTGCTCCTCACGGGCTGCATCTGCCCACTATATTTCTATTTATCTTAAAGATTCAGCCCTAGGAACACTTTCTCTGAAAAGCTTTCCAATGAAGGTGGAGCTGTACCTTCTCCTCGGGTCCCTGTACTAACTTTTGCTACATTTTACTTTGTGTTGCAACTGTGTGTTTAATAATCTGGTTCATTCTCTTCCCGGGGGGTCTTTTGGCAGCAAAGACTTTGTCTTACTCATCATTGAAAACCCAGTGCCCAGCTTGTCGTAGAAACTCAGTCGGTATCCAAAACATTAATCAATTAATTTGGAAATAAACCACTGCCTCCCTCCCTCACTTTACAGTGAGAAGAGCCCACGTTTGAAGAGAGATTTTCCAGGCTCAAGAGCTGTAGGCAGAATGATGGAAAGTCTCCGATGTCCTCAGATTCATGCTTAGAACTCCCCAAATCCCCAGGGACCACAGAGTCACCATGCCTCTTGAGGAAGAGACCAAGCACCACCAGGGTCTGCACAAAGAGACCTCATAGGCCTCCACAGGCCTCCTTTTTTTCCGGGAAGAAAAGACACTGCTCAGCAAGTGAACATCACTCACCCTCCTAATTCCAAGGCTCATCCCCAGGCACCATAACCAGAACTGCTGTCTTCTCACATCTTGCTGTCCACCTTAAAAGGCAACAGTGAGCCAGGCAGACACACAAGCCTCTCAGCACCTTGGGAGGCTGAGGCAGGAGGATTGCAAGTTCAAAGCCAGCCTCAGCAACTCAGCAAAGCGCTAAGCAACTCAGTGAGACCCTGTCTCTAAATAAAATGCAAAATAGGGCTGGGTATATGGCTCAGTGACTGAGTGCCCCTGAGTTTAAACCCCTACCTCAAAATAAAAGACAATAGAGAGGTTTGGGAGAAGATAAGGGTAAGGTGTCTTCATATTCCAGAGCGACTTTCCTCTCTCAGGTGTGCTATCAGAACAGCCCTGACCACTGCTTCCAGGCCCAGAAAACTTCCCTGGTCAGGTGCAACCAAGGCTTCCAGGCAGCCAGAGGCATCTTCCCAAGCTCTTGCTTTGTCAACCTTCTTTGTATCCATCTCTGGATTCTGAGTTTGATGGTCAGTATGGACCCCAGTAATGGTCCCTCTTTTTTAAAATTATGCAGATCACAATACAGCCAAGGTCAGACCCACTTTTCTAAACAAAAAAGCATTTTGCTTTTTGGTTCTAATCCTCCCAGTGGTGAATCCAACAAATCCCCACCTAGTTCCCTCTGCAGTCATCAGAAATATCAGAAAGACAGCTTTTAAGGGATTCATTGGGCTCTGTGACTCCCACTCAAGCCCTAAGTCTTTGCACCATTCCAACCTTAAGGAATCTGTGTGCTTTTGGTCCTGAGCCAAAGGTGCCCTGGTTCAGAAGATGATGTATGGAAAGTATTTATTTATTCATTCATTCATTCATTTAACAGATGGGTTTGGTGTCCAGTATGAGTCAGACATGGTTCTGGGATCTTGGGGCACAATGTTCAGCAATCCTCAGGAAATCTATTCCAAAGGTAAAAGAAACTTGTACCGCAGGCATCTGGTGAGAAGACCCCTGCCCAGCTTGCACTAGTCTGAAGCTAAGGCTGGTCTTATGAATCTTTTTTTTTTTCAAATACTGCCACTTGCCATCTGTGTTCCTTCATGTTTGACCCCAGCTCTCCTTATCTATAGATGATTAAGCACCAAAAATCATTCACTCAGAATAATGGAACCTCTTTATCCTCAGGATAAACTTCCCTCTTGTAGTCACCTTGATGCTGGTCCCATGTGGTAATTTTAACTCTTGATCATGTAGTGTGAGGATAGATCTTATATATGCCAATTTCACACAAAAGGTGTGGATTAATCCATTCCCACCTCCATTTAAGGCTCTCTAAACTCATGAGCATGAGCCAGTGATCTCGTTCATTACCCTGGTTTTAAATGCCAACACCAATAAAGATGCCTCTAACCATCTTCATGTAGCCAAGTGTGTGCAAAAATGCACTTTCACATTGGGCTAACTAAAGGCTTCCGTCACAGATGTGAAATCTGATATCTATTCCTAGGAAAATTGTTATAACCACAAATTAATGAGTTCAAATTCTGACTTTCAGTTTTCATTGTGGGTTTTCAAATGGACTCCAATAACTAGATGGACAAGGGAACCTCATAGGTAGGTTCAAGCTTGGATGAAGGCCAAGGGTTCAAAGCCTTAAGTGGCAGATTGTCCTGTGGAATGAGATTATAGAATCCAACTCAGTGTGGGGTTCAGGTTCAAGTTCTCATTCCCCTGGAGATTGATTAGTTGTCCAAAAAAAAAAAAAAAAAAAAGTTAGGAAGAACGATCTATGGAGACTTTTAACAGGAGAAACACCAGCAGAGCAATAGCTTTCAGAGAGATGCAGAAATAAGAGGAGGGGTACAAGAAAAGATGTGTGTCATGCATATCGAGTTCTAAGATCAGGAGATGGAAAGAAAAGTGATCATCTAAGACCAGCTTCTGTTGTAAAATTCAAATCCTGGTAGTATTTATTCGGTAACATTGGGCGTGAATTAACATTTTTTTAAATAGGTTTTTTCAACTTGACTGTGGCAAAAGCACGGGTTGCCATAATGAAGTGGGTATGACAAGCCGCATTGATACACTAAAACAGCTTCTGCCTCGAGGCTGGAAGAAGTCTCAGCCTGCTTCTGCTATTGTGCCACATGTAGCCAAGGCCCAAAGGCTTGGCAATACTGGGCCTTAGTCCATTCATCTGTAAATTGAGGCCAATAACACCCACCTGCAGGATTTCATGAGGATTGAACAACATACCAAAAGTGTTCTATGACAATTAACTTTCTTTTCTCTCCTTATATTACTTTTAGAATACATCATTGTCAGCAAAAGAGCAATAGGTTGATCAAAAGAGTAAGTATATGGGTCAAAATGAGGTAAAGCATTTTAAAATTTGAAAAAATTTTACCTGCTGCACTTTAAGTCCTTGGGATTTTTAAAAGATGAACTCACTTAAACTTTAGGTCAGTTGACCTATAGAAGTCTCTGCAATGATGTTCCAGAATGTTCTACAGCAAAGTGGCCCAATACAGCAGCTTCTGGCCATATAAAGTTATTGTGTACTTAAAATATAGCTAGTGCAGCTGAAGGACTTTTTAAATTTTATTTATTTTTAATTTCTTCAAATTTAAATAACCATGCATGACTAGCATTTACCAAACTGGCCAGGTCTTCTAACCATACAGTCCTCCACATCAGTCTAGACTGAAGGAAGCAGAAGAATGTGAGTTTAGGCACCTAGGTTCTGAAACCAGACTGTCACTGGGTGATTTCACATATGCTCCCTATGCCTCAGTTTCCTCATATGTAAAGGAGGCATGCTAGTGGATCCCCTGACATAATGGAGGACTAAGTTAAGAGCTCCAAGGTATTATGACTGTTTTCCCTATGACAGGCCTCACACTTGACGAAACAGTGCATTTGGTCCTGTGCCTCATCCACTAGGTCACGGGCCCTGCCGTAACACCAGTGTCCCACACCATGCATGGCACATTCAGACTCCATTAAATAAGCGTGGGAAGGAAGAGAGAAGGAGAGAGCTATACACCAGGGGAGAAGGACGAGAAGAAAGAACAAAATGGGCACTGGTTTTCTTATGAAGATTGAAAGGAGCTGCCAAAATAAAATAAATAATTAACAAGCACTTCCAATAAAAATGTCAGTGGACAGGACACTTGGGGATGAAGATGGAGCCCAGCATACTGGGGAAAACACTCTTCCAAGTGACATTGACAGTTCTGAATAGAGCGGGGTGGGGGGGGCAGGTGGAAGGTTTGCCCGCATTCCACAGCCTTGGAAATACAGATTCCAACCCAAGCACCTCCAAGAGAACACAACTGTGGGTGGCACGTCCTTATCTGTCCTTTGCCCTAATAGGTTCCTTCCCATCAACAAGGGATTTCAGGAAGTGTGGTCTGCTCTGTTGGCCAAGGTTTTTATTATACTAAATTCACCATCCTCAACACCCCCTCCCAAAAAAAAGCAGGATTGGGTAAGTTTTCATAACTGTTTATTCATTATAAATAGTAAATATTTACTGCACTTTTTACATGAAAGACATTTTTACAACACTTTGTTGTTGGCTGAGGCTGCAACACAAAGATCCTAGTTCTCTCATTCCATCGCCCTTGTCCAATGCAGGAACGAACCTCAGTTCTACGCCTAGTGTCGTCTCACTAAATGCACTACAGTCACCGTTCTTCACTCTAAAAGGAATGTATTTGTGCCTACCTCATTCATGATTCCAAGAATAGAAAGAAATAAATAACACTGCCTTCCACCTTTCTTGTTCCTCTTAACATTTCAAAGAAAAGAAAAAAAATTTTTTATTGACATTCTAAAATGTCACCACATAAACGTATGTAAACCTCGGTTCCTATAATCTTTTAATATTGGATATCATTGTATAATTTAAAAGTACATGAGAGCCACGTGGACATTTCTGCTCTTGCCCTGCCTTTCATAGAAAAGAGAAGAATGTAAACGTCATCATTTTAAAAAGCACTATTCTCTGACACGGTCTCTAATCAAAAGGAGCAAGCTGGGTGTGGGTTGTTCAGCAAACGGCAAACATCACTGCATTCTACCACAATGAATTCCGGGCTGCAAAAATAAAAGCCCCTGCAAAAATATAGTTCTGGTTTCATTTCTATCACTCTGGCCGTGGCCAAAGTGTCTGTGAGGTACACAGTATTGCACACGGAAAAGCAGGTATGTGACGCACGTCACTTGGCCGGGCCCTCCCCCTGCCCGGGTTGGCTTCCAAATGAAGGTGAATTGGAAAAATGTCATACACCTCTCCCCACACCGGAAAAGAAAAACAAGCTTTTCTTCCTGTCATCTCACATCCTGTTGGCAAAACGTGTCCGGGACATTTATTGACAACTAGATTCTAAACGAGGATAGGATAACAAATAATTTATTATTCGGGAGGTCCTTTACATCTAGTCTAGCTTCCTAAAATATGGTGGCCTTTATTTTTAGATTAATTTCCAGTGTGTACAAGTCAGGGATTCCTCCTTTCCTGCTTCGATAAGTGAGCAGTTTTAAAGTCACCGACATCAAACGTGTTATAGAGTTTCCTCCGAATATACTTTAGAACATTCTGCTTGCTCAAAACAGTCCATAAGTCTCCGATAAACACACAGACACACACAGAATGGAATGTTTGAGCTCCTTGATCATCAGCAATAAAGAGTTGGGATATTTGGATCTGTAGTCAGGTTGAGCCATTGTTTTGAAATGTCGCTTGAGTCTTTTGTGGCTCCAGGTCCTTATCTTCTCCGCTGCGGTCATCCATCCTGTTCAAAAGAAGCTGAAACCAACTTTTGCAGAAAGAAAATCAATTGCTGCTCTTTGCCTCCACCTCCCCCAAAGGATGAATTTTTTTTTTTTTTTTCTGAGAAGACTCTTCACGTCTAGGCTGTGGAGACCAGAAGCAGGGCCAGTTTTAGCTCCAAGTGGACAGTTCGTTTATGCAATATCTGGCTTGAGATAATGAAAGGCACCTGTGAGGAAACACGCAGCTTTTTAGGTCACGCTGGGACAATTCACAGTAAGGGGCAGTATCAGCTACAGGCTGACAATGTCATACTTAATACCGTGGTATCAAAGGATTGAGACTAATATTTTTATTCCTGAGACAAGTTTGACATAACTCTGTGTCCCTGGGATTATACCCCATGTGATCCTTGAGCTGACCTCATTAAGAACATGTGTTTGTAATGCCAGGGGCTGTTTCATGTTGGCCAACCCTCATGTTTTACCTACTGGCAATCAGGTTTTATGTCTCAGCAATTAATAACCACAAGATGTTGTGGGCCTCAGTTAAGAAAATAATTATGTAAGGGAGCCCTTACTGGAACAATCAGCTGGTCTTGCCACAAAATTGGTACCGGGACGCAAGGCTTAATGATGCCTGACGCTCCCCCTTCTTAAGCAAAAGGTGAATTTATCTCCCTTCCAGGAGTGATCACCCCCTAGAAAGTCCAAGGCTTACTTTGTCCGTACTGCCCATATTGGTAGCCCGTGACAGGGTCCATACTGTAGCCTGTGGTGCTATAGGTGGGTGGACAGTAGGACTGAGATGTTGGCAGACTGTCCAAGCTCTTCATATGGTCTAGTCTCTGACTGCAGCTGGCCGACACCGTGGTCGTAGGTTCCAGGCCCCCAGTGAGAGGGGAGAGCGCATAATCGGTCTGAGGCTGATGAGGTACCCCGCCATGGTTGGTCAGGAGTCCCATTACCTAAAAGAGACAGTCAAGTTAGAAGACATCAGCACGGAGGGAGCACCAGACAGTAGCCCAGAGCTGAAAGAATCACTCGCCCGTCCTATTTTTCTTTCTTTGGAAATCTGATAAAGAGCTATTCCTAAGACTGGGACCTCAATTCAAAGTGGCAGCGATATTACATCATACCCAATGATAACATCTGATTGCAGTTTCAGAGAGAAAGGGGGCGGGGAGGGAGAAGGGAGGGAAAAGGACAAGGAGGAAGGAGAGGAGGAAGAGAGACAGGGGAGATTACACCGTGTCCCCGTGATAAAATCAGACTGGAATTTCAAAGGAAAGAAAAGAAGGGACAGAGACAGGGAGAAATTATGTCTGTTCCTATAGAAAAATGTCTGACTATGTATCCCATCTGGAGGTTTCCTATATCATTTAAAATAGGCATTTGCTCATTATTTTTTTAAAGTGGAGGGCTAGGGGTGTCACTCAGTTTTAGAGCACTTGCTAGGCGTGTGTTAGGCTCTGGATTGGATCCCTAGCACCTCAAAAATGAAAGTTTAAAAAGTTAGGGCTGGGGGGCACGGTTCTGTGGCAGGCTACTTGCCTAGCTTGCACGGGGCCCTGGGTTCAATCCTTAGTAGTGCAAAAGAAAAAAAAAGTTACATGACTCCAAATCAGGGTTTTGTGTAGGGGTGTTTTGAGACTTGTGTCTTTCCACACTGTCTCAAGAAAGATCCTCCCCTTGTCTTGACTATGCTTCCCTTCCCTGAGGCTCCCTCGTCTCTCCCACAGGGTGTTGGTTGCTGGGCTGCCACTCTGAGACCTCTGAGAGGTGCAGCCTGCTGCCTCTCTACACCCAACCCAGCACAACACTCAGGACCCACCCAGCGCTATGTGAACCAGTGGTAAAAGATTCTCCAAGCAAAACGTCCTCCTTGTTGCCTAAACACTCCTTTCTTCTCTAACCAACGATGCCCATATAAGACGTGTTAAAAGACAAGCCAGAAAAAACAAACACGTTCTTTAAAGTTCAGTTTTGTTTTTTGTGTTGTTTTTTTTTTTTAAATGACCCTGGTGAGTAAGACAACCTAAAAGACAAAAGGAAAAAAAAAGTGATAACAGAAGAACACCTTTCAGATCAGCTGAATGAAGTGTTCCCAAACTCAAACTCACTGACCCTTGCAACACCTCCTGTTGTGGAAGTAAGTGGATAATTAATTTTGCAGCTGGAAAATGGCCACACAAAAGAGGAAGTGATTTTTTTTTCCCATAAAAGCAACAGCAAAATAAATCTGCTGAGTGAAGAGCCCCCAGAAAACACAGTGATGGCAAAATATTTAACCACTGGGGTCCACAAGTGCACGACATGTCCATAACCCTCCTGCAGAAAGGAAAGCCAAGCTCTGACTGCAGGCACTGGTGCTAATTCAGGCAGCAGAATCCTGGGGGCAAGAGCTCCAGTGGGGCAGGGCTGTGGGTCTTGCATCCCAAACGCATCCTAACTCAATTCAAAATCTGGGATTCCGTGGCTTCCTTTGGGAAAGGTTTGCATAATCTTACAGCCAAACAAATTCTTCCTGAACAAAAGCTTTTAACCCATCCATCTTCAATGAGCCCCAAGAGACCAGGGGAGGGGTGACATTCATCAACTTCTGCAGGTTATCCTCTTTCTCCTCTAGCAGGCTGACCTCCATTTCCTTGGCATTATTGCATGTACACACAGGTGAGAAGGTGGGAGGGTGTGGTAAAGCAACAGTGTGTCCAAATTTTGAAAGATATTCCAGGGATTTACATTTTCTTGAGATATGCGGTGAAAGAGCTCTTTTGAAATGTCTGAAAAGTAGTTATATTCTCAAAAATAGAGATTGGCAGCAAAGCACAGTTTTATGAGATTGCAGGAAAGTGAAAGGCACACAATAAAGTATCAATAGGATGCACAGCTTCAGGAAGAATGACTTCAGGATGTTCTCCCACCTACGTGGATTGTAGTTCCTCCCCTTCCTCCTCTTCCTCCTCCCCCTCCTCCTCCTCCTCCTCCTTCTCCTCCTCCTCCTCCTCCACCACCACCACCACTACCGTCACCTACCACCTCTGCCTCCACTCACATTATCTTTCTTGAGCTTCTACAGATAATTTTACAGTGTAAACTTGGAAAATTCACAAACTCCCATAAGTGGAGTTTTATATGATGCTGGGTATGTGTAAACACTAAGCCAATTCCTTCAATGCCTAAAAATCTTTTAGTTAGCAGCTATAAGAAACCCACTTTTTAAATTATTTGTCATTAAAAGAAGAACCTAATGCCAGTTCATCTCAATAACAATACAGATAATTATACATTGTGCAGATGAAAAATTCATAAACTTCACTTGCTACATTAATATACTAAATATATTATCTTGGCTCAGAGTAGGTACCTCTATTTTTAAAGTCTTTAAAACCAAGGTTGTTCAGTGCCAAACACACTTCTTTCAAATCAAGGAGCACATATTTGTGTGCTGATCTGATGAGCAAGAATCAGAAAAAAAATAAGAATACAGAAAATGTGTCTTTTTTAATGAAAGGAGATAATGATAAAGGGAAAATATTTTTGCTGTAAGTAAGCTATATTAAATTTTTAAAAAGCAGACTTATGAATTCATCAGTCTATAGAAGAAAAATACTGGTGGCAATAGATAAAAGAGAAATGTATTTTAAATTAATTGTATCCTTCCTGAAGATACTTATTTGAAACTCAGTTCATGGTATGTCACTTTAAGGAAGAAATGGAATATTCTAAGTACTGTTATAGCTGAACAGCTCAGAGCAGGATTTTATTCAGAACATGCGCACTCTCCCATGAGCTATATATGTACATTTTTGTGATAAATTTCTTTTAATCCCCTGCCACATACTTCTCATTTGCATAATTTTGAATGCAGCAACAACTTCGTCTATGGGGAGAAAACAAGAACAAGGAGCATCCTAAAAAAGAACAAACAAGTTCTTCCTAAAGGCTAAAAAATCAGCTTATAGGGATGTTCATTTAGCAACTTTTTTGTAGTTGCTGTTTTTGAAAACTTTTTACGGCAGCATTTAACTTTGAGACCTTGGTATAGGTCTTTTGGGGGATGGTGGAGATACAGTACTATCTTCAAGGCCATATTTGTTAGTTCCTCAAAAGTCCCCAGGCAAAGTGACTTTAACACCCATCAAGGGCTCCCACTTCAGCAAGAGCCCTTGGCCCCATCGCCCAGTATCAACAGTGGCCAATGCCAGGGAGAATGAGGACGGGGGACCAGACATCTTTGGTCCCAGAGACAAGACATTCTCCCACAAATGCCTACCTCTACTATGATTTTCACATATTGATACAATCACTATCCTAAAATTTGTATAAGGATAGGGAATGGGACATTAATCCCTCCCCTATTTGGTCTGAAATTGAAATTAATAAATAACTATCATGTGAACTACTTCAATATTTTGCACCAAAAAAAAATTTTTTAAAAACTTGAGAAATGTACCATTTTCATAATCTGTCATTTAAAAGTTAAAAGTCTGAGGGACAGAGAGTGAATATATCAATAAAAAAATGCATTACTTTCCCCTAACATAATTTAAAACCTCAAATCTCTGTGGAAGGGTCCCCTTACACTTTTATGTATGTTTCTTTAAAAGCTATTTCATATTTCATGTGCTTCAAGGGAAGCTATGGAAATTTCTTTTTGCACACAAAGAAGTCGGTAAATTAATTTCTTCGAACTCCCCCGATACGGTTATAGAGTGTCACCCCGACATATTTTCTTTCTAGGAATATTGTCAGGATTTCTTTCATACATGCTTTTCCTGCAGCAATTGGTTATTCAAAGCCTAAAATAAAATCTTCATTTGTTGTGAAGTGAACTTTATCCCCTCTCAAATCTTCAGCAAGATATTTCTCCTACAGGGCTGGCATTTTTTTCTGTTTGTTTGTTTTTGTAAAAAATTGGGGGTAGGAGGAAAGCACAATTGCCTGGTTTTCATAAACAATTTCAAAGGAAATGAAACAAATTCAAGGATACTCTGTTCTGCCTCTTGAAGGCTGACCACATCCTTATGAGATGCCAAGGAGATCTACGAATGCAGCAAACACAAAGAGCCTTCCTTTAAATAAAGGTCTCTGGTGTCCCACCAGAAAAGGACCAGGGGACTCTTTGGCAGTTTTTACTTTTAGTTGTGTACAGCTCTTAATCAAAGCCTATGGAAAAAAAAAAAATCTATTAGTCAGTTTTTGAAACTGTTACCCCAGACACAGCTAATTGTTGCAAGGATGAATGTGAAAAACAAATTCAGAGCCTTGGACTCTCTGGCTCACAATTCTTCTGCCAGTTTCCTCTGTCGTTACCATTATTAGAGACATTTTCTGAAGATCTCTTTAAACTCATTCTCAAGTTTCAGAATTCCAAATAGGTTGTTTATATCTTGATTGGAAGATTATATGGTTCAGGAAAAACTAACTCTTTACAATTGCTTCATGCCGTATTTCTCTTGAATTAATTTTCCTATTGTAAGATTAAATAGAAAAGATAAAAAAAAAACTATGGGCCAAATTAAGATTTACATTGAAAATGATGTGTCTGGAAAATATTTGTCTTGGCACAAGTGTTACGGTTTTGCCGTCCGTTGAAAGTGCTCCGAGTTTATCCGAAATCTAACATGACTTAGCAAATTAGGGTGTGCTTCTGGACACTTCTTTCCCCTTTGCAGGAATCTTGGTTCCTGTCTTTATTTTCTTTCTTGTTCTTAAATGAGCAGATGTTCTTCTGGTTTAACATTTTTTAAAACACCCGCTTTGCATGATACACAGGGACTTTCTAGCCCTCCACCCTTCCTTCAAAAGTCTACTATGTATTTTTTTTCTTTAGATATAATTTATTCCCACAACCAACCAAAAAAAAAAAATCAAATGTTTAACAAGTGTTTTTTGACAATAGAGGTGTCACTGGATGGTTAAATTTCATTGACTATGTTTTGGGGACTGAAAAGCCTCCATTTAA